GGGACATAAATACTGAAGATGTAAAACGACTGGATATTAGGCAAGTAAAAGCAAGCCACAGGACTGAGTCACAATGTGAGAGGCAAAGTTAAATGTTGTCAATTGGAGGTCATGAAAAAATAGTGAAGTAGAAATGTAAAAAGAGGAAGTTAAATATGGGACACCTGAACCTAAAGCCATCAGGTATCAACAGATATGTCCCCAAGGAGCTCAAGGAAGTGAACCAGACAATCAGAGCTGTCTGCATGGGGTTTCCCACAAGTCAACACATTTTGTCTTATGGTGTGTTAAAAGAACCTCTTGGCAACCAACACAGGCCTGGGGATGTCATCCTTATACTTAAAAGAGTAACAAAGATCTGAAAAATATGGTCAATTATTCCAGAATAAAGGACAAATTCCACAGCTAGAGATGCAGACTTTTCACACTTACTTTGTTTCCCTCCTTTGTATTGTTACTCTTATTACCTCATTACTGAAAATTCCAATCACCCATTTGAAATTAAGGTCTTTTCTAGCCATCAAAGTTCAGTTCAATTGAAATTATTTCCAAAAATCTTTCCTGCATATCTCCAGAGTTAATTTATGTCCCTAACCCTCAACCACAATATAAGTCTTAGATTGTGCTTTTGATCAAAGCATGATGACTAAGGCATAATTTACCATGAAACACCTTAATTTAGAAGAAACATATTCGAACTTGATTCAGAGGTGGTAGCTGATCCATCTCATCCTTCAAGCATAACCTTACCTATAACAGTCGCCCATAAGCATTTTACAAAATTGAAGAAAAAAATTAGGAGATTCTAACAACAGAAAGGGATTTGAGTTAAGGCCTCTAATTCCCTTGCAAACCTGAAACTTTATGACACATTGCCTCCCCACTGCCCCCTGCCAACTTTGAAACTATTCTAAACAATGCAATTTACCTACCAATTGTTGCTGAAATGGAAATTACCTACTGTGGCATCAGCTCAGAACAAAACTAACAGGTCCACAGTTGAAACTCTAGATCCTTAATGTCAAGTTCTAAGGTTATAATCTCTAATATATATCACTGAGTTAGAGAAGGTATTCGATTTATAGCAAGTAAATGAAGAACAGTGAATGAATGAAGTGACTGCTAAATGCCCAATCCAAACCTTACAGACACAGAGGTCAAATTGACTCTGATAGAAACAACCAGAAAATGTCTCATTTGTTTTCTAAGACTCTCATCTTTTTCCATAAAAATGAGAACTGTCAACACAATAATTCTTGATGCTAACTATTTGCCCTTTTCAAAGAAAAAGAAAGTCTACAGCAAATAGCATGCATTCAGTGAGTCAAGCAGAACTCCATCAGCACCTGGTCCTTCCAAACAGCAAGCAGGAAACCCCTTCATCTGAACCTCAGAGCCAGACAGAGGACTAAAGCAAAAATATGCACCCAGTGAGAAGAACAACAAATCCAGGAGTCACAATTTCTCGGATTCATTAAGAGTTCAGTCAGAAACTACATCATATACACCTTCTTTTTCTCAGTTTTTCCATTTGTACAGAGAGGAAGTCAGTTAGCAAGGACCAGTATTGCAAAAGGTCTTAGCTAGATGGAGGTTGCAGGGATGAACTAAATTATATCTTAGGTTCCTTCCAGCTCTGAAAATCTTTTCATTCTTATTGTCACACTTAGAGGACATTCTTTTGGCTCCAACCTGAAAATTCAGCTGGAAACATAAACAGAATTCTACAGAAAAACACACATCTACCAGCTACAATTTGGACTTGGCAACAGGAGGTTTCACCATACTGTTAGAGAAAAAAATATAAAATTGTCTCTGAGGGCTATATGACTTTAGGGTACAACATAGCTTCTATCTAAAGGGGGATAAAGATAGAGCCAAGTCACTATCCTGTCTTATCACTAAACCACAGGGAAGGGCACACCCATTTCCTTTATAACACATCTGTAGTCTTTCATATATTCAAGAATTTGCAGGCCTCTGCCTACCAGATTTGTCTTTTGCCATTTGGCAAATTCAATTTTATTTTTTATCCTTCTTCCTTTTGTTTTGCAGAGAACATAAGCCAACATGGCAACAGGCTTTTTGTTTATTTCCTTCCTTTTTAAAAACAAAGTTGTGATTTCAGAACAGATATCAGGGCAAGGTCCCTACAGAACAAGACTTTTTATAATTTCAGGACTTTTCAAATTTTTCTTAATGGAGCACTTTAACAAGGCTCTATTGCTACTATTATTCTAGCTGTTGTTATTTTTATATAGTAATAATTATAGTTTCAGAATAACTGTAAAGCCACTAGAGTTTAGAAATTCAAATACATCTGTAATTCATATAATTATTAGATGTTGATCTGTCTGCTTTATTGTTAATTATGAAGATTTTGGGACTCAGTGTGACCGGCTCAAAATAGCTGCTCAACTATTATTCAAACACAAGTCTTCTTTCACAAAATCAAACAAACTTTTTAGAAATAAAGATTGTAAATGAAAAAAACAAAAAAACAAAACAAAAAAACACAAAATAGTTTCTGTAATGACGAATCAACAGAGAAGATTGAGTAAGTGAAGCTTTTGAGTAAATTAAATTTGCCAAGAACTAACGTCCACAAAGTAAAACACAAAATAGTTTCTGTAATGACGAATCAACAGAGAAGATTGAGTAAGTGAAGCTTTTGAGTAAATTAAATTTGCCAAGAACTAACGTCCACAAAGTAAAAGCAAAAGTATACAAAAGGCTTTAAAGCTTTTATTTTCATTTTAATAAATGACTACAAAAAATAAAAAGGAAAATTGATCATTTTGTTTCCATTTGCAAGGGATCTCTCAGATGCATAAACTAAATATAAACTTTGTCAGACTCCTGTCCATTACTAGTATCTGATCTATTTTTACCAGCTTAACATAAGATAAGGTATAGGAGTTTGTAATGTTTATATGAAAAAAATTCTTGTTTGTTTTATTGATTTTTAAAAGAGAGATGAAGGGAGAGGGAGAGAAGATAGAAATATCAATGACAGAGAAACATTAATTGACAGTCTCCTGCACACCCAATACAGGGATTGAGTTACAGCCCAGTATGGAAACAGAAACCTCTTGGTGCATGGGATAAAGTTCAATCCACTGTGCCATGATAGCTGGGAAGAAAAAAAAAAAAAAAGAAAAAGAAGAAGAAAAAAAAAAGAAGAAGAAAAAAAAAAAGAAGAAGAAGAAGAAAAAAAGAAGAGTCTTTTGGGATCTAGCCTAGGAACTTAACTACAACTGATAAATAATTAAAAAAGAGGCATCTTCTATTTCCTAAGATCTAGTATATGAAAATATACCCAAAAAAAGAAAGAAAGAAAGAAAGAAAGAAAGAAAGAAAGAAAGAAAGAAAGAAAGAAAGCTATAATCAGTTTAGCTCAGTAGATAGAGCACCAGTTTCTGGACTGAGGGATCCCAGGTTTGATTCCAGTCAAGGGCATGTACATTGGTTGTGGGTACATCCCAGGTGGAGGGTGTGCAGGAGGCAGTTGTTTGATGATTCTCTCTCATCGATGTTTCTAACTCTCTATCCCTTTCCCTTAATCTCTGTTAAAAAAAAAAAAAAAAAAAAAAAAAAAAAAAAAAAAAAAAAAAAAACATAAATATATATTTAAAAAAAAAAAAAAGGAAAAAAAGAAAGAAAGAAAGAAAAAACCCACTGGCTCATTCTTGCCTCTCCTACTCAAAGTCCTTCTTTCCATATCACTTTACCATGTCCACCCCGATAGTTGTATCCTATACCCTTTCCTCAACCCATAGAACTGATCCAATTCTAATGTACTTTGTATTGCATGTATTTTATTACTTTTATCTAGTTTTACTAACATAAAGTGTCTTGAGAGCAGAACTGTGTCCTTTTTGCTATAGAACTCCTAGTGGTATTAGGGTGCTCACACAGAAAATTTATTGAATGAATGAATCATTTCTTCCTGTATCTCCCCAAACCCAAAAATGTAGGACAAAGAAAGATAGATAATGGACCAAACAATTTAAGGGTTATTTTCTAATGCTTTTCCTCTTTAAAACTTATTGTGAGAAAATCTAAACATTTAAAGGTAGACCAAGTAGTAGAATAAACCTCCAGCACCCAATAATTATCAACTCATAATTAAACTTTTTTTTTTACCTGTATTCTCACAAAATACCTACTCTTATTCTTTTGTAACAAATATCAAATACCATTTCACTTCTCCTCAAATATTTCCAATGTTTCTCTAAAAGGTAAGAACTGTTGTGTGTTTTTCTCCACCTTATCTGGAGTAACCACATCACCCCTAAAAACTAACAATAATTATTTGATTGTGTTATTTATGTTTCCTCCCTGACATGAATAGAAAGCATTTGGCTGCCTAAGCGGTGGCAAGTGGTCATCAATGAGCCTGCATGATCACAGGTTGAGAACTACTTCTAATGTTGCACCCTATTCTAACCAAATACAATCACCAGTCTCTGGAGCACAACAGTTGTATATAATCAATACATTGTGCAATGTGCATCATGGACCTCACTCAGAAGAGAAAATCCTACAAACATTTGCTGCTGCTTTTGCTAGAAAGATACCACTGACCATTAGGAACTAGTGACTAACCAGAGCTTTAAAATATCAGCCTTAGTCACATAGAACGCAATGTTTGTGAATAAAGAAAAACAGGCAATAAAAATATGTGGGATTTTTTTTCTGTAGGTGATTTTCTGGTGTGTGTCACCAGGATAATAAGAACATGTGAACTTCTCAAATGACATTCCTAAAGCATGGCTTTCAGTTTTGAAACAAATGAGTAGGTAAAAGGATTTCTAAGGCTTGGGAGTTTAAGCTCTTAGAAGCCTTAGTTGGGTGTTTTGCATTAAAATGCCTTAGCTTTTTGTGTCATAAAGCTCTCTGTGGGCTCTGGATAAATGTATACCTACCATAAAAACAATCACTGAATTCATGAGCTTCCTATCATGGCTTATAAACATGACTTCAACGACAGATCTTACCTGTGCCCTGAAAGAACCTTCATCAAGGGGTGGTGGAGGAGGGAAGTTTCCAGAGACAGATGGAAGAGTACCAGGGTCATCTAGAGGTGGGGGTGGGGGTGGAAGAAAATCACCTACAGAAAAAAAACACAAACAAGAAGTTACTATAGGTGCAATCTTATAAGCACTCTTCAAAACACACATTAGCTGTCATTTTGCTTCTTGTAATTGGCATTGACTCATGATATTTTGCCTTGCATAATTATTCCCTATCCTGCTTCTTCTCACTTTGGTTAGTAGCCTTAACTTTCTGAAGATGTAGGACCAGATTTATACTTCTAAGTGACATAAAAAATACACTATAGGAGTCAGGGACATTTAGCCAGAACAAGGAAGGTTGTTGGGATGGTGGATTATTGCAGTATGTAAGACTTGATCCATCAGGAGAGAACTTGGGGAAAAGAGATAGGGCACAGACCCTCACCCCGCCAGATTTGCCTGGACCTGAAACCTCAACCCTTCTGAAGGAGGTCTCCTGACCCATGGCTGCTTTGCTTCCCATGCCCAACTCAAATTGGGACGCAGGTAACAGACAGAGAATTGGAAATAGCAGTTGCCCTCTCACTGCAACAAAGCTTGAGTTGTTTTGTACCCATGGTGTGGGGAAGTGGATTTTTTATATCTAAATCCAGCTTAGCACCAGGATTGCTCAGGGCCTACTTAAGAAAGCAAATAATACTTTCCATTAATATTTACAGATAAAATAAGATTGTTGTTAGAGTATTAAATTTGACAGTAAAATAGTAGTCAAGTTTTCAGGCTAATTTAAATTGGCTAATTGAAATAAGCAAATATTCTAGAATAATTAATTGTACTGGACAAAAACTGTTCCTAAAGTGATAACTAAAATTTTTATTGGTAGTTCATCTCATGGTAAAATTGTGTAACATGTAATGAACCTAAAGCAGTCATATTTTAGTGAAAAAAATTAAAATTTAAAAGCTATCAAAACCACATTTAAAATTTTCCAAAAGCCTCCTAATATTTAAATCAAAAAAGGGGGGTGTTATATATATATATATATATATCACGTAAGGAAAAATATCCTTTCAATAAATTACATCTAGAAAATTTTTACATTAGAAAATTAACTTTCATTTATAATGCTAACTACAAGACAATCATGTAAAACATACATGGTGTCAAAACAAGCCAAAGGAAAATTGTTTGGGCAAAACATTAAAAAGGATGCAAAGTCAAATTTATAGAAAAAATTCCTTTATTAATTTTTGGTCGACAGTATGTTTGTATATTTTCAGAAAACAACTCTGAGATCTGTGGATTCCTGCAACAGAGTGGAATTGACAGGACTGCTCAAGCCATGAATGAAGATAGAAGAGAAATAGGCCAGAGATGGAAGACGCTGATGACGCCTTGCCATATTAGCAGTCAGTAGCTATGTTTTGCTGTAGGTTGGCCACAGATATGAAGAAGCTAAAGGAGTTTATCATCACCAAACCAGAACTATATGAAATGCTGTAAGTATTTTTTAAGAAGAGGAAGAAGAAGAAGGAGGAGGAGGAGGAGGGAGGAGGAGGAGGAGGAGGAGGTAAAAATTATGAACAACAAATATGTATCTATCAAAAAGTGAATCCTACAACCAAGGAATAAAAAAATCTGAAGAACAGTATTAACTGGTGAATATAATATTGGGGCCGGCAACTACGTACTTGCGGATTTTTTAAAGAAAATCAAAGACAATTTTTTCATGGAACTAAATAACTTTATTCTGTAATGTGTTGCCCATTTTGATCAATGACCTTTTGCCATCTTTCAGGCAGCATCATAATCCCACGTTCAAAAAACTTCTGGTTTTTATTAGCAAAAAACTGAATCAGGTACGATTTGACATCATCATCATTATTGAAATTTTTACCATTCAAGGAGTTTTGTAAAGATCGAAACAAAAAGTAATCAGATGGTGCAAGGTCAGGACTATATGGTGGATGTGGCAAAACATCCCAACCAAGCTCCATTAATTTTTGCCGAGTGACCAAAGATGTGTGTGGCCTTGCATTGTCATGATGGAATACAACACCTTTTCGATTTGTCAATTCGGGCCGCTTTTCTTCAACTGCATTGTTTAATTTCGTTAGTTGTTCAATGTAGACATCAGAATTGATTGTTCGGTTGGGTGGTAAGAGTTCAAAGTGACAATTCCTTTGTAATCCCACCAAACTGATAACAAAACCTTCTTTTGATGAATATCAGCTTTTGATGTTGTTTGAGTTGGTTCACCTGGCCTGCTCCACGATCTTTTCCGCTTGATATTGTTGTAAACAACCCATTTTTCATCGCCAGTTATCAGTCGTTTTAAAAATGGATCATTTTCATTACGTTTCTTTAGCAAATTGCAGCTGCTAATGCGTTGCGTTAACTGTGATTCTTTCAGTTCGTGAGGAACCCATGTATCGAGTTTTTGAACATAGCCAAGTTGTTTTAAGTGATTTTCAATGCATGTATGTGATACATGAAGCTTCTCTGCAATCTCACGTGTTGTACTGTGACAGTCCGAATTGATTATTGCTTTGATTAGGGCATCATCAACTTCAACTGGACGGCCAGAGCGTTTTTCATCTTTGAGTGAAAAATCACCAGAACGAAATTTGGCAAACCAATTTTGACACTGCCGTTCTTTTAAGGCTTCGTCACCATAAACAGCACATAACTTTTTATGAGCTTGCGATGCGTTTTTCCCTTTGCGGAAATAAAAAAGCAAAATATGACGAAAATGTTCCTTTTGATTTTCCATTTTTCAACGAATGCTAAACGAAAACTACAAAACAGATCAAAAAACTTTTTTTACTGATTAACAGCTGAATAGCCAACTATCAAATAACAAAATGTGTTTTACATTTGTACTACGTCTGCAAACCTAAAAATTCAACTGAAGCCATATAGTTGAATTTTTAGGTTTGCAGATGTAGTACAAATGTAAAATGTAAATATATATGTGAAACCCGCAATTACCTAGTTGCCGACCCAATAAAATGAGGGGTATAGAAAGAGAGTGGACTGCAATTCTTGGGGGAATAGAGGAGTCGGGTGTGCAGGAAAAGACTGGACAAAAAGTGTACACCTATGGATGAGGACAATGAGGAGTGAGGGCAAGGGCAGAGAGTGGTGTAGGAGCCTGGTGGAGGAGAACTGTGTGGGGAAAAAAGAGGAACAATTGTAATAATCTGAACAATAAAGATTTATTAAATTTTTAAAAAGAATGTTAAAAGAGGGCAAAATCACTTCTGTACTATGCCTAAAGCAGTGCTGTGCTCCAAAGAACTGTTTCCAAGGATAACAAGAAAGCAGATATTATGACAACCTACTGATAATAACTAGGGCACTGAAAATTTTAAGTTGTTTAGAACTAGCATCAATATGTTATTTTATCTAAACCAATAGAAACACATTCCTTCGATTTATGTAACTGTTTCCTTTCCCTTTCTCATAAATACTATTGCCTTTGTCTCCTAATTGAAACATTTTTAGCTTCTGCCTGAAGTATGCTTTCTGAATAGCTATTCTTTGATCTCAAATAAATGCCTGTTGCAATAAATAAATAAATAAATAAATAAATAAATAAATATTTTAGATGTTATGGGAAAATTCTTTACTCTATTTATAGATAACTAGCTGTTCCTTACATTTAAGCAATTTAACACTTAGTCATGGGGCAGCAGTTGCTATCACTCAGTTGGTTGCTTTTGGATAGTACCAAAGCATTACAACTTAAATCTTCAGAAAAGGAAAGTCAAAATTGAACAGTGGAAGGATGGTAACTGGGACTGGTTGGTCTGATACACCTTTCAAATGGCTCACATGGGCTCCACTTACCCTGTAAATTACAGTCTAGGAGCTATAGTTTCTCACCATATTCATACTACCAAGCAGTCAAACACTATCTTTAGGATACTCTGCTTTTTGGACTCTTGCAATGCACAGCATGCTAAGATATTCATCCACTACCTTTAACACCTACAAAACTCTCTGATGGTTCTCAAATACTAAGGTTCATTGGGATCTCTGGAAGGTCTTATTTAAACATATAAGTCTGGCCCCACCCCCAGACTTTCTAATTCAGTAGGTCTGGGGTAGGACCCAATAATTTGCATTTCTAAGGACTTCCCAGGTGATGCTGATGTTAATGGTCATGGGATCACACTTTGAGAAACACTGCATTAGGCAAAGTAACACATTGTTATTTCTACCTTAAACCCCATAGGATTAGTAAAGTTCAAGGATATGTGTCATAAAGAAACATTTCCACTTCTCTTACCCTTCTGAGTGTACTCATTTCAAGATATACTTTGTCCATAGCCTTATTAGGATTATAAGTTTAATAAACTTTGCATAACACCAGCCAGTAGTTCTAAACATTGCCTACAAACTAAAGTTACCATGAAAGCTTTTCTATAGACACTGAAACCAAAACTCCATCTCACCCAATTCAATTAGGATCTTGGGGGTAGGGAAGGGGATGAGGGAGAAGACTCAGATGCCAGTATTCCTTTAAAACTCAGTTTATTGTAGTGTACAACCAGGATTGAGAAACTCTCTTTGCCTTCATTTGGCCAAACACTGTAACATCTATTAAATTGTCACCAACTCCTTTGAAAAGTCATAATAGTGTATGAGAGGAATGCAATTGAGTTCATAAGTGATCAGCAAAAGAGATCAAAGTTGATGGAGACATGATAACCAAATACTAGTTCACAGACTAATTTTCAGGTTCAAATGTCCTATCCAGACTTATGTCTCCTATATCCAACATTAAAGAAGATTTCTGAGCATTTTCTTCAACTTCAACAAATCCTATTATATCACAGGGAACTGTTAGCATTAAACAGGATCAGAACTGAATGATTCTTGGAGATCATAGTACAAAGGTAGAAACAGAACACACAAACCATATGAACACTCCAAATTTTCACAGAAAATTAGTCTATGTAATTTGTAAAAATCATAAATCCTGACTATATACTCTAGGAAAAATTAGGCAGATTTTTAAAAGCCCTCGTGATAACCCCATCTAATAATCTGTGTTATTTTGTTAAAAGGTTATAAATTTTGAGCAAAT